AGATTAACACAATAACATGTAAAAATGGCTGAGAAAACCACTAGGGGGACATTTTGAGCTTTTGATTGGTTATTCATGTCATACATAGAAGTAAGTGTATATAAGGAAGCATTTACAAAAATGGAAAAAGGTGGGTGGGGTGCCACTGTGTTTGATTTATTACGTGAGCAATATCTTAGCAAATTGAAGAGAGGCTGTTATTTTATATTCTAGCTTTTCAATATCGGTAATTTGAGTTCCTGATTCATATGAAACTATAGACTTAGTATTTTGACATCACAAACATTTAATTTGAACCAGTGCTGCATTCAACATACCACATGACACACAAAAATCGATGTTTAACTGTGTTTTTTAATATTTACTTTTAAATTAAGAAATTAACTAACATATAATATTAAACTTTTAATTATAATCTACAATTTGATACCAAACTTATTGAAATAAATTAATAAAATAATAGTTCAATAAAATTATGAATGTGAGTCAACAAACGAGATGACATGGCCTTTGACATGTGACCTGTCATGATAGGGTTAACACAGGATCTCTACTTCATCCAGAGATACCTTGGTGGCAGAAATCAGATGTAAAATATATTCATGATTTTGCCACTTTTGGTGAAACTTGCGTAGGATGTAACACACAAAGAGATATGACTGTTACAATTAAATTTTCAAATTGACCAAATTATGTCTGGTAACATCAGTATCAGAAACCTAATAGTTAATTCCAGTAATCCTTGTTGTGTAACAGATGGGTCTGTTAGATGAGCCTTCTTATCTCATCACTACATTTGTTTCTCAGACCAGAGCCCAGTAGATAGCTCCAAGCCCCGCTGACCATGACTCTTTAACATCTCATCATAAATCACCATTATTCCCTCAATTACCTGCACACGCAAGGTTCCAAGATGTTAGACTTGCAACCCATGCAGCTGCCATAGATGCAATTATGATGAATTTTTTGACAGCCCTTGTTGAGCCAAATCCTATTCTATATCAAGCTTACAACTGTCCCTTTGAATTGGACTGAGAAGATCTTTGTTGAAACAGTAACAATTTTGAAAAAATTTTTTTATACCTTACTTAGAAAGTCAGATATATTATAGGAGTTTAGAGACTAGTGACTGATGTATTTTAAGTGTTATAAAGTGTGTATCTAATTTTTATTTAAATAATGAAAAGAAATTATTCCTAATGAGTTGCACATCCAAGTGCCAACGTTTCCTTAATGTCTACATGTTACAATATTACCAGATGGGTGTTTCTAACAATTATGGATATAAACAGTGTTGTGTATCCAATTTTGTACACTAAGTAACATCTTAACATGACATAATACGTTCAGTGCAAATCCAACTTGGTGATGCAAAACTATAAAAGTTCTATAACTCGGCTGTCAATTGATAATGGCAATATCTAGGCTTAAAATATTTAATTTTAAAATAAAACTGACTTTTGTTGCTTTAACCCTTCATTTAATTATCAAGTATTAAAACATACATACTTTAGTTTAAAATATTTCGTGCATTTTCTTTAAGTATGCAGGGCATAGGTCAATGCTATGAGGAATCAAGAAAAAATAACTGAGAATGGTAGGATAGTAGATGTAGTTTCTACAACATGTAAAAGTCGTACAAATGTAATGCGTGCATTTTTTGCATTATGGTGTATAATTAGTACTACAAAGCAAAGTGGCTGCTTGTTAAGAAATACATAGGATATATGAATGCTAACACTGTAATCTATTAGAATGGAATAGTGTTACTGGTAGATATTAAGTAAAACTTGAGACTGAATCATTCCTCCTGTAATTAGTTTTCAATATGAAAAAATAATTACACAAACCAACACGGAGACTGTTAGCCTAGAATTTAAAAAATAATTTAATTTTAACTATTTTTTCTAAGCCAACAAATTAAAACAATAACATGGCCAATGTATGTGAAAAATTAATTTAATTCTATACCCAGTATGGCAGTAAACTTAAGATCTGTTAAATCGCTTTTAATCATAATCATTGACTCACCACTAAAAATCATTGCTGCTGCAGATCCCATCACTCCGAAAAAAGGTCCGTACACTGGAGTTTCAGACATATTGACTTCTTTTTATTATTATTCTATATATTAGATAATACAAAAAGATGTTTAAATGTTAAAAGGAAAATGTGCTGGAAATAAATTACTCTTCTACAACAGTTCAGGCAAAGAAGACGTCAACATGGACGTTAAGCTTCGGAAATATCATGTGATAATATTGACTGATACGTTATTTCCACTTTCCACATATACAACTATTTTATGAAAAACAAAAGTGTTGAATATTCCAAAAAATGGTAAAACATTAAGAAATCTCCAGTAAAGCAGCAAGGACAACAATATCTACATATAGATAAAAACATTTTTAAAAATTGTTTAGGAAACAGCAAGGTCTAAAAGCTTCTAATATATTACATTACTAGAATTAATAACTGAATTTATAAACCAGGAAATACTAATTTGTGATTTCTTTGAAGGATAAAATGAAAATAATATATATTTGTGGCAGGTTTCGACATGTTGCCAATTTTGTGCCAGTTGTTATTACTTGAAATTAAATTTATTTCATAAAATAGTATACAGTTAAGTATTTGTTTTAAAAGGTTTCTTGCGCAGTCAACAATAAATAACTGCTATTTTGTAACGATGCCTGTTCTAATACAGAGGTTATCATATTGGGGTCCATGAGAGAGCCT